AAATTTGTTGAAATCAGTGGGAATCATTTTATTCATAAAACTATATGTATTGTCGCAATTTGATAAAAGCGTTATTCATTTATTTGATTTTAATTAATATTTATTATTTATATCTGAAATCTCATTCGGAATTGTACAAATTGTAATAATCAACTTACATGCTCCGGTCGGATCAGACGTATTATTTCGCAGTTAATTTAAAAGAATTTTAATTGAATCGGCAACCTAGAAACACACGCCGTAGACGGGAATTCGATAAAATTTGTTGCAACGACACACTGTGTGCTAGCGAACAATACAATCTCACAGATTCTTCGTAGCCCCTTTTCTTTGGTCTCGAATTGATACTGAAGAAAAAATTCGTACCTATGGAATTGTCCCGTAACTATTTCCAAAAAGTACCAATGGTACAAATGTATTTATTGTATTTCATATTTATTGTTAAGGACTAGAATACTCTTGGAACGGTGAAAACATGTAGTTTATAGAGTAGATCCTAAAACGTTCAAGACCATATCGAATCGAATCGAATTCTTTTCAATCTTATTTAACGTTAAAGGAGTTTAGGGTAACCTTCGAACTTGAAATATATCGCGCGCGGTAGACAATTTCTCTCGTTAAAGACACACACGTTAGACGCGGTCAAGTAAATTTGATTCGACACGATCTTGAACCGTTCAAGTACATTGCGATGTATTCCGATAAGTATCTCGTGCGTCCATCCGGTAAATTATCTCAGCTATGTTGCACCCTCTGTGGACCATTTTTGTAGTATAATAAACATAAACTGTGTAATTATCTATGGTAGGTTTAAAAACATTCATAAACATAACCATTGTCTTCCTAAAATATTGAAAATGCATCGAAAGAACTTGTTACAAAGGAGGTGTCTCCGGATTGGGAAAACATAATATTAGAATGTTCGTATTCGAAATTGTCAGATAATTATGTCACGGTTAAATGTAAATTTTGTGCATTTGGTTGATAGGTGCAAAAAATGGATCCGGTGTTGTAAAAATGGTATTATTATATAAAGAAATGTATTATTGTATAACGGATGAAACGTAAAAATTGATCATACGATGATATTTTAGATTGTGGTAATTTGAGACTTGAATCGCTATATATTTTTTTATCTCTGATTCTAAGTATTATTAGGTTCAGATTACGAGTTCAGCCGACTGCTGTGCAACAAATTTGGCTAATGCAATGGTTCGAATGTCTTAAAGATAAGTATTACAGTTAAGGGAACGCATAGCTCTCGATAAATAAGTAACAAATAATGTAGACGATATAACTTACGTATGTCGGCCATGATGACATAAACCACTTATATAGGAGATTATATATATATATATATATATATATTATTTGTAATTTTATTCTTTTATATATTAAATATTATGAAGGAAAAGGGGTTACGACGTTCAGTTAAGAAAGTTAAAAGCGGCAGATAAAAGTTGAATAAATTTTTGTAATTCCTTTTTATTCAAATATTAACACCGTTTACCCGTTAATCGTATCGTGTCGAGGAATAATTGTATCGATCTTTCGAATCTTTTCGTTTCCAACGACTCGACGAACATCTTCAGGAGTGTTAGTTTCATCTCAACATCTTTCTGTACACATAATTCCGAAAGCTTTTAGCCGTTACAAATATTCGAGATGAACACACATTTTTACCTTTCATGTTCGGTTATTCTTGTAAATTTTGCCGTTGCATTTAATTCTGATTGTTTCAACATACTTCGACGAAGGTACTAATCTCTATTATACATCTATGTTTAGTTGTATTATTTTCTTTTATACTACATGACAACTGACGAGGTACTCGATTTAACCGTCCATGAGAAGTATCAGAATTTCATGAACTGAAATGCTCGACGTTGAGACACGGTAAATATAGTGATTATAATTTGTAAATAAAGGAACATCTTTCCAATTAAATGTTAGTTTTGCGTTTCTGTTTCATTTATATCGACAAACACTACCGATGTACATACGTACATGCATTCATACATACATACGTACGTACGTACATGCATTAAGCGGTCATATTTTTTTTATACCGAAAAAGAGCCGAAGCAGACGTATCTTGCGTCGCCTGTAAACATCTGAAAATACAACGTGGGACAGTGACACGATAGTTTGCATAGTTTATTCGAGTTTAGAAGCTTTTTTTCGAGTAGACAGTGAAACTGGAAAATGATACGTGTTTTCACTTGAACGACCGTGCGAGTGTGTTGTGCTTTGATTTGAAATTATACTCGATCGATTCCATAGATATTATTTTCTATAGAAGAAACAAACACATTTCTAATGTTTACGGTATAATTCCAATTGACTCGACGCCCTGTTACGATACACACACACACACACACACACACACACGCGCACACGTATTCGGGAATATTTCAATAAATTTCGAGTCGATGAGATTTTGAATGCCTACGAATTGTAATCTTCAAGATCTGTATACATATGTATGTATATGAGTATACGTTTGTACGTTGTATACCTCTGAGTGTGTATGCGAGCATGTAGGTACCTGCGTTCACGTAACGCACGTACACAAGTATAAATAAATGTGTATATGTTTTCAATCTAACGGAATCGGGATATAATATATGTAAGATATATTTATTAATTTACCTAATATATAATACATATATTATCGATACTGTGCGTACAGGACGTTTCGTAACTGGCGGATCAAACGCGAGAAATAGGGGATTTCCTTTCGAATACTATGTTTTCTATAGAACACAGAGTACGTTGTAGACGAGTACACATCTCGAGACGCAACAAAGTTTCGAAAAGTATCGAATTTACAAATGGGGGATCGATTACGATGAACAACGTTGACTGATCGACGATGTGACAACGTAGAAACACTCGACGTGCGCGAGTGTACTCGTGTACCGATTATTATTGTCGCGAAGCTAACAGATCCAGCCGTATCGAGGAAACGTTCTGTACGTGATACGAGTTAGATTTTAGGAATAAGAGATATTGAATAAATAAGATTATTTCGTACGAAGTATCGAGATTCTTTTTAAATCCGGCTGATAATATATAGTGTATCGTTCGATAGGGAAAGATGGAAGAGAACTGGGAATTAGAAACACTTTCTATGCACGATGGACGGGCCCGATTCGTCGTACTCTTGCTTCGAGATCCACATTTGCTGGAAGGTGCTCAAACTGGCCAAGATCGAGCCACCGATCCAGACCGAATACTTCCTTTCCGGGGGCGCGATTATCTTAATCTTCATCGTGGACGGCGCCAATGCCGTTATTTCCTTTTGCATCCTGTCCGCTATACCTGGATACATAGTGGTGCCGCCTGACAGCACCGAGTTCGCGTACAGATCTTTACGTATATCGACGTCGCATTTCATGATCGAATTGTACGTTGTCTCGTGTATTCCACAGGACTCCATGCCCAAGAAGCTCGGCTGGAACATCGCTTCTGGACACCGGAAACGTTCGTTACCGATCGTGATCACCTAAAATAAAATCCAATTATTTTCAACGCCTCGCGAACGGAACCTCGAACTTTTTCGAATGTTCTGCCTACTGATACTCGTGTATCGCGTTAGAATGTCGTTAATTCGTGTCGGAATATTCCGAGATTTCATTGGTTCGTCGCTAGAAGAAAATCGAATATCGATTCGACTCTCGTACCTGACCGTCCGGTAATTCGTAGCTCTTCTCTAGAGCGCTCGAGCCAGCAGCCGTGGCCATTTCTTGCTGAAAATCTAAGGCCACGTAACATAATTTTTCTTTAATGTCTCGGACGATTTCACGCTCCGCTGTCGTTGTGAAAGAATACCCTCTTTCGGTTAAAATCTTCATCAGGTAATCCGTTAAATCGCGACCAGCCAAGTCCATGCGTAAAATCGCATGCGGCAACGCGTACCCTAAATTTGGTAAAAACATTTCAGTGATATATGTATCTCTTTCCTTTGAAACGGTTCGATGTCATATGTCAATTGTGTTTCTCGATTGCGAACGGCGTATTTTTCAACTTGCCGCCTTGTGCGCTTACGACGAAATCTTTTAAAACTGGGACGAATCGAAAAATCTTTTCGACGACGATCACAGAGAAATCTTCTCGCGTTCGTGCCGTTCGTATCGCATAATATGGGAAGAAATTTTGAAATAAAGTTGCATCGTTGAAACGAAAGAGACGAATGAATGTTAAGAAATGTGTTCGATAAGACAGCGTACCCTCGTAAATCGGCACTGTATGCGAAACTCCATCGCCGCTATCTAACACAATGCCGGTCGTGCGTCCTGAAGCGTAAAGCGACAAAACCGCTTGTATAGCAACGTACATGGCTGGAGAATTAAACGTTTCGAACATGATTTGTGTCATCTTTTCTCGATTAGCTTTGGGATTCAACGGGGCCTCCGTCAAAAGAACAGGATGTTCTTCGGGAGCGATTCTTAGTTCGTTGTAAAACGTGTGGTGCCATATTTTTTCCATATCATCCCAATTCGTTACAATACCATGTTCGATCGGATACTTTACTGTTAAAACGCCGCGTTTACTTTGAGCTTCGTCTCCCACATAACTGTCCTTTTGTCCCATACCAACCATGATACCCTGTGCAATTTTTTTATATGTAACTATGTACGTACACGTATATTAATAGAAACATTTATATATATATATACGATTTATGCGTATACATTGTGCACACATTACATTTATATCACAAATTTTAAAGCAGGTTATTAAAATTTAATATTTTACTTATCACCATGTGTTTGTTTACTTAATGCTGTTATACTAAAGTCTCGATGGTGACAAATTTTCAGACTTTTGAAAACTTTTATAAACTTTTATAAATAAAAACCGAGAATTTACAGATTTTTGTTTACCTGGTATCGTGGTCTTCCAACAATGGAAGGAAACACTGCACGTGGAGCATCGTCCCCTGCGAATCCTGCTTTGCACATTCCAGATCCATTGTCAACTACTAATGCTGCTACGTCGTCGTCACACATTGTAAAATTTAATAGTTTAACTTGTCTTGCTTGTAAAAAGAATTAAGTCTAATTATTTATTGAAAATAACCAGTAATGCTTTTTATGGGACTAGATTTTGCACTATCTCAACAGAGCGTTGACTTCACCAATATCGTTTCTGTGAAAGAATGGAGCTGCTTTATATTGACTCCCCCTCTTATTCTACCTCTGCACGTTCCTGCCTATATACTTTAAACAGTTGCTTGCAGCTGGGTAAGCTGATGTATACTCGAGATAATACAGTTTGGTCTTGCTATTGTTCTCATTCTTCTATTTCTGTAATTTTTAGTCATTCTTCTTGTCAATTTTTCATATACGTAACAAAATTATTTCCCTATCTCTCGCATTTGTTATATTCCTATAATGTACTCTAGACGAAAAAAAGTTGGACAATTATGATTCTATTAATTATTGAAGCAAATTTATAAAAGCCATATAACTGTACTAATATTGCAGCTAATACAGAACCTAAGATGAATACCTTATAAGAGAGTTTAATTGGTTTCTAATGTATGCCAATTAGACACAGAGTTCGTATGAAGTAGAGCATAAAAGTATTTCCTTGTCTCTTCGGTTCTATGAGATTCTTTTAACAAGTGCAATACGCATAGTGGTATTCTTCACTTATATTTAAGATCCAGTAATAAGCAGGATCACTTATTATAGAAAGTGAAAACTAGCTTGAAAGTTCACTGAACGTGAATTTAATTTGTTCAAATTGCAGAATGAAACTTATTATAAGAAATTACATAAACGTGTAGAAGAGAACAAAAGGTTTTACTCGGTATATAAAATTGAATGTTACATCGGTTTTTCTATTTCCAAGTTCCATGTTCAGACAGATAGGCTCTATACTGTTCATTAATTTATTCGGTAATTATAAAACTTGCATGTATTTATAGAATGAATTGATATAACAAAATTGTATATATTCTTTTTTT